CATGTCCCGTGCCCAGCCCCAGTGAAATCAGTCCTTGCCCACAGGAGAGAGGCCATGGCGGCCGTGTTTCTGCCCGGCAATCTCCAGGATGAAGCCACTTGCTCCGTCTGCCTGGAGTTCTTCAAAGACCCGGTGTCCATTGAGTGCGGGCACAACTTCTGCCGGGCGTGCATCATCAAGAGTTGGAAGGACCTAGAGATGGACTTCCCCTGCCCGCAGTGCCGAGAGGTCTTCCAGCAGAAGAGCTTCAGACCCAACCGGCAGCTGGCAAACATGTCCGAGATCATCAGCCAGTTCACCCTCCGTGGGGCCAAGGGTGCCGAGGAGGACGGGCTCTGCGCAAAACACAGGGAAGCCCTGAAGCTCTACTGCAAGGACGACCGGAGAACCATCTGCATGGTGTGTGACAGGTCCCGGGAGCACCGGCCGCACGCCGTGGTACCCGTCGATGAGGCATCTGAGGAGTACAAGGTACCTTGTCTGTCTGTCTGTCCACCCCGAGGAAGAACCTCCCACCCCCCCAAAGCCCTTTCTGCTTCTTCGCCTTGCGTGTTCGTGCTCGAGCGAGTCCCCGCGCCATCACCTGCCTTTCCCGGGCTCGGCCTCATGCTCAGCTTCCCTGCAAAGAACCGGTTGCTGCTTTCCAGCTTTCCGAAGACCTGGAAACTTGCCCCCCCAAGATACGCAAAACCCTCGCGTGACATCCCATTGCCTCGGCAGCCGGGGGGAGCGGGGGATTTAACACAGGGCCAGCCGCAAGGCGAGAGTTTCTCCTGCCCAAGCTCAGCAGGTTTGAGCCCCATGAGCATTGCGCTGCAAACACCACCTGCGGGCACCCACCTTATCAGTAGGGTAAGAGGCTGCAGAGCGAAACCCCCCCGACGTCTGTTTGAGGTCTGGGCGAGCGTCCAAAGATGAAGAGAAGTGGATGAAAGGCAGGAGCTTTACGTGGGCCAAACGGTGGGGGAGGTGGGAGCAGCAGCCGACAAAACGGGGGCCCGGGCCCTCCCCTGGCAACCCCGTCTCCTGCTGTTTGCTGCACGCATGGGCAGCCCTTTGGGGGGGGGGAGAGGTTGCAAATGTGGGTGTCGGGGGGAGGGTGGGCAGAGCTGAGCCAGCATCTTCAGCCAGCGTGAACGCCCCCGCGTTGGTCCTGCAATTCTGCTTTGCTAGGCACAGTGGCGAGAACAAACCGTGCGCAGGCGGAGCGGTGCAGGAATGGGAATTGAGTGCAGCAAAGGGAATCAAGCGCAGCAGAGGGAATTGAATGAGGCAAAGGGATCCAAGTGCAGCAAAGGGAATGAGTGCGGCAAAGGGAATCGTGTGCGGCAAAGGGAATCGAGCATGGGAAAGGGAATCGAGCGCGGGAAAGGTGATCGAGTGCGGCAAAGAGAATCGAGTGCAGCAAAGGGAATCGAGTGCAGGAAAGGGAATCGAGCACGGGAAAGGGAACCGAGTACAGCAAAGAGAATCGAGTGTGGCAAAGGGAATTGAGTGCGGCCAAAGGAAGCAGGACCAGGCATTAATTTTTTCTTTCTTCATTCCTAGGAGAAAATCCAGGGACGCTTGGATTTCCTGAAGAAGGAGCGGCAAGAGCTCCTGGAGTTTAAAGTGAATGATGACAAGAAAACCCAGGAGCTCTTGGTGTGTGCCCGCAGTGCAGCGCCGCGGGGTGGTGGGGACAGGGCTCCGGGTGGGGACACCTGCAGGAGAAGGACGATAAGGGCTGTTGGTGGAGTAAGTGCCTGTGGCCTTTGATCTCGCCTCCCCACCCCTCTTCAAGGCCTTTGTCCGCGCACGCCACGTGCAATATCTCCTCACCCCACCCCAACTGAAGGCCCCCAGTCTCACAAGCAAGCAGCAATGACCCTGGCCACTGCTCCAAATTCACCAGGTGGCCCCTCTCCACCCCAAAAATCATTGCGCCCAGCTTAAACCCCCTTTCTACTGCATTTCATTCCCAGAAAACCGTCGAGAACGAGCGGCAGAAGTTGCTCTTGGAGTTCGAGAGGCTGCGGCAGTTCCTGTATGACCAGGAGCACATTCTCCTGGGGCAGCTGGAGAAGATGGAGAAGAACATTGCCAAGAGGCAGAATGAGAACATCACCGACCTCTCCAAGGAGATCACGCTCCTCAACAAGCTCATCACGGAGCTAGAGGAGAAAATCCAGCAGCCCATGCTTGAGTTCCTCAAGGTAAGAGGTTTGCTCTGAAATGAGCCTTCAGGTCTGAGTTGTGACCCTTCTTCATCCTTTTTTAATGTTTCTGGATCCTGGAGCGGTGTTTTGAGGATAAATGTCCTTTTCCCCGCCCCCCCCACCTTTAATGGGCAAATGGTGCTTGGCAGCGTCTGAGTGCCCTGAACTCTGCTACGCCAGTAATAACTCTTGGGTGCATCAAGAGGAGCGTGGCCAGCAGGGCCAGGGAGGTTCTCCTCCCCCTCTGCTCTGCCCTGGGGAGACCCCACCTGGAGCTCTGCATACAGTTCTGGGCTCCCCAGTTCAAGGAGGAGGAGGAGCTACTGGGGAGAGTCCAGAGGAGGGCAACAAGGATGGTGGGAGGACTGGAGCATCTCCCCTACGAGGAAAGGCTGAAGGAGCTGGGCTTGTTCAGCCTGGAGAAGAGAAGGCTGAGAGGGGATCTCATCAACGCCTACAAATATTTCAAGGGTGGGGGTCACCAGGACGGAGCCAGACTCTTCCCAGTGGTGCCCAGCGCCAGGACAACGGGCCATGGGCACCAACTGGAGCAGAAGAGGTTCCAGTTGAATGTGAGGAAGAACTTGTTGACTTGGAGGGTGATGGAGCCCTGGCCCAGGCTGCCTAGGGGGGCTGTGGAGTCTCCTTCTCTGGAGATCTTCAACCCCCACCTGGCCGCTGTCCTGTGCCCCCTGCTCTGGGTGAGCCTGCTTGAGCTAGGGGGTTGGGCTGGGTGATCACCCGAGGTCCCTTCCAAGCCTTGCCGTGCTGAGATTCTCTGTGTGTGTAACACAGCAACAATCTCTGGCTCGGGAACATCCCGGAACTGAGCTGTGCTCTTTGTATTTCATAGCCTCTGATAGATTTTTCTTCCACGAATTTCTCTGGGCCTTGCTAGCACACGTAAATTCCTGTTTCAAGGTGTTCAGAGCTGATTTAGACCTTGCCTGAAGAGCCACCGCAGTGGTACTGGCTAGGTCCTTAAACCAACCAACTTCTCCTGCAAATCCAGGTCTGGATGGACTTGCAACACTGGAGATTTGCTGCCTGCTGAGTCACAGATGTCTGCTTTGCCCACTTAAATGTATTGGTGAGGGTTTGGGATGGAGTTGAGGATAGAGGCACGTGGAGCTGGGCTTAGCAGGACACGGCTCCTGGCCAATTTTCGCAGCGGAGTCCTGGCTGCAGAAGGTTGGCCAGGACCTGAAAGCAGAGCCAGGTTTTCAAGTCAAAATGAGCTATTGACCAAGCTGGAAAGTATGAGGGAGAGAGCAGATGGAGCCCAGGTATTGATTGCATTGCAAGGAAAGAAGCTGGAGCTGATCCAGCTGTCCCTGTTAACCAAACGCTCCTTCGCAGATGAATCATGGAATCAGGGAAGCGTTGAGGTTGGAGAAGCCCTTGAAGCTCCCCCAGCCCAACCCTTCCCCTACCCCTGCCATCCCACCCCCAAACCCCAGCCCTCAGCCCCGCCTCTGCCCGGCTGTTAAATCCCCCCAGGGCTGGGGACTCGACCCCTTCCCTGGGCAGCCCCCTCCACC